CAAGCAGTTGGAATGGGGCTGGCAGACAAAGCACGGGAAAGCTATAGTGGGGCCAGCCTCAGAATTTCAACTTGGAGGAGTAAAACGATTTACATGAGGATAAGACAATCCCGATTGGTAGACCTTTTAATGAGGATGTGGGGTTAATGTCTTTTAGCATTACTGGGAGATAGAATTAGTACTAAAGAGATGGTATTAACCCTCAGGTGATGAGAGTAATCTACAGGAGATGGGATTAGTCCTAAAGTGACCCAAAAGTTGAGAAAGGTTAAAACATGGAGGGTCACTCAGACTGACTCTCTCCCAATGGCTGACTTTATATAATTCCCTTTAGTGTTAACCATACTCATGGGGTAGCACCACAATCAGACCAAAACAGTTATCTTCATCATCCTAATTTCTGCTGTTTATGACAAATCAACTTGAGTAAGCATTAGTGGCTATAAACCAGAGGACTTAAACTTGCAACAGGAAACAAGTGTACTGTGGCTATGGGTATTACAAAAATCATAATCCCATGTTTTCTTCAAAGTCATAAAAGTCAAACAAACTTAATTAAACAGTCATAATCTCATATTCCTTAAAAAGATAAACTATTGTTAAATAGGCCTTGTAGATAAACTAAATCAGGCTACAGATTAAACCACTTAGAGGGCTCACCTAGTACTAATCTGAGGAGATTTACATATCACCAAAGTCACCTAGAAAATTCCAATATCTGACTTTATTATCCTTCTAATCAAAAATACGCAATGGATTCCATTTGTTTCTAGGATAAAATGCAAACTCCTCAGTCTGTCATTGAAAATAATCCAAAATCTAGCTCCACCTACTTTTCCAATATAATTTTACAATTACTCCCCTTCTCATACTCTCTAGTTCAACCATCCTACATGTTACTGGTTGTTGTTGTTGTTCATTCTTCATTTTCCAATAGGACCAATAACATCAAGGGTGATGTCTTGACTTAAATTTGAATTGGATTTAAGTGAGGCAGAGTTGCTCAAAGTCATCAGCCTCACTTTCTCTTCCAGTCATTGAAGTTCAGCAGCAAAACAAAAGTCAGGATGATTGGTGATGGCCCGGAATGCAGTGGATGACCTTGTCATCTTCACCTTTGAGGTCTGACTAAGCTCTAAGTGCTCCACAGTGCCTACTTCAACCTTATTCATAGCTGTTGGAACAAATTGTTCTCATCTGCCCATTCTGCCAAAAGAATTCTTTACATGCTTAGTGTAGACATCCCCCTAATTCACAGATGGGTTTGAGGCCTATGAGTTACCTTCAGCCTGGTTTAGCCCATCTACTGAGATGGTTTTACCAGAGTGTGATCTGCCAAAGACCAGCGTATATATGGAAGAAATTCATGCGGAAGACAACACAATACCATGGACACTGAGGGATCAACATATTAGGTATCTAGAGGATAGGAAGATACTGAAGCCTGGAAAAAAATATCAGATCTTATTAATAACAGAAAAGTTAATCAAGAAAACATCAATGACTACTCTCCTACACATACAAATGTGCTTTCTCTGGAGGTAGTTTTTGAGGGAAAAGTACTAAGGTTCAGGAGACACAGTAGAAAGGGATTTAAGAGGAAGTGGCGATATGTGAAAATAAAATATATCAATGCAAACAATTTTTAATCTACAAGATGTGCTGTATCAATCTAGTTCAAGCTTGTTTGTCACCTGATATGGATAGCATTCTACTGCCTTGGTGATCAAATCAGCTTCAGAAAGGTTACATTATCATCTCTTTGCAGATAACTCCCAAAGGAGGAGGAGGAGGAGGAAGAAGAAGATGATGGTGATGATGACAAGATATACCTCTAGTCATAATCTCAACCCTGAAAAACCCAGTTCAACATAACCAATTGCAAGCTATACATTTTTACATCAATGTCCCATCTGTATCTCCAACTCAATGTCTCTAAAATGGAATTAATGTTTGCTTCAAAATCCATCCCTCTTCCAATCTTTTTTTTTCCGTTTTCCAATCTTCTACATTTTTGTTGTATCTCTATCATTCTAGTCACTAGAGTTTGCAACCTTGCAACTATCCTTGACTCTTCCATCTCCTTCACTCCCCAAATCCAAGTCTAGTAAGGGAGATGATAGCATTTTTCTTTGGTTGCAGGTTTCCTCTTGGATAGTAGTGTTTTCCTATACTTCCTAATACCTACTAGGTTTAGTATCTCAAGCCCAATCAGAATGAATTATGCAAAAGAAACCATACACAGAAATACTTTTTCTCTAACATTTTCAAACATGTAAGTTCTTCCATCTAACCATATTAGATAAAATGGTCTGTCATCCCTACATTGTTTCTCATGTCCTTTTGATGGCCTTTCAAAGATGGTATAGAACAGATCAAAAGGTCTCCAGGTAAACTTGTGTTGACAGTACTTTGATTTATACACACTTGGCTAAGTCTTGAACTTATATATGAATTTATTCATGCTCTGGCCTAATTGTAATTGAAAATGAAAATAGTATTTATAAGCAGTTGACTGAGCCATTTGTAGTTTTGGAGGTGACTTTGGTGTTTCAAAACAAGATACAACAATTCAGTTCAATTGGATAAACATTTATTAAGCACCTACCACAAGATCTCTGCTCTCCAAGACTCTTGGGGGTGAGAGGTTGTATAATATATACACAAATAAATACATAGCAATACAAAGTAATTTCAAGAGGGGTAGAGTGTTAGCAACTCAGAGAGGAAGAAAGGTCTCATGGAGGTGGAACTTCAGTTGGAGAAAGAGATATAAGAACAACACAGAAATAGGTTTGAGAAGACTTGGCAGCATCACAACCTGCCTAATATACTTGTGACCCTGAAGACTAAGTAGAAGGTTCAGCGGACTCAGCATGGAACATTTTTTTTTAGATACATGCCTATGTAAATGCTACCTAAGCTTTAGTGTTGCTGACATTATCGATATAGGACCATAATTACATTTTTTATATCCATCTTCCCATGGGTGAAACTTAACAATTAGAACTATCCAAAAGAGGAACACATAGTCTTATGAATAGTAGGTTTCCCCTCTCCCCTACTAGAAGTCCTTGTAGATGAAAACTAAATGACAAATTGTTGGGAATGCTATAGAAGTGATTCTTGGTCAGGTGAGGTATGGATTGAGCTAGATTACCTGAGATCATTCCCAAACATGAGATCCTGTGATTCCTGCAATGGAGGTCCACGATATTATTTAAAGAAAGAGTATTGGGGTCAGAGTAGCAAATAAGAAAGAAAAGAGCCAAGCCTAAGAAAAAGTTATAGTAGCCATCCTGGAAAGATCACCACAGTCTGAGCCAAGGATTTGGTTGCTGTGATGGACAGGAAGATTTATCACTATTTAGCAATGTAGACATTATTGTACCTATTAAAATACTTGTCTTTAAAATGATACTGTGGTATCCATTGAGCTTTTTAGAAAGAGCTAAACACAGATCACTAAATATAAAGTTGACAACCAAAGACTGGACAGATTCTGAATGCCTTCTTAGAGAAAATGTTTGAAAAAACAATTAAGAAAAGAGAATAATAACAAACCAATCACTACTAGAAAAGGTAGCTGGACAACTAATCTTCCTGTAACTTTCTCTACATTCATGTTCCTCAGATATTGTTTTATCTGGAAGGAGACATTTGAAGACTACAGCCATGCCATCTCATTTTTTTTTTTAATCTAGGGCAACAGTTTCCTATGTTCAAAATGTAAGAATACATTTAGAATCTATTGACTCCTGATATATGTATTTAAGTGCAAACTTATCTCTTAGAGGGGAAAGTTAACTTCTCCCTCTTGAAACAAAGTATCTAGCTGAAACAAGTGCACAATTCCAATAATACAATCCATAGTAAAATATTTAGTATCCCACAGAAAAGTCAAAGGTGGATGTAGGCACAGTCCTATAATTATAATATGGAAGCTGAACCAATTGCTACATTCTGCTTTACTTTGCTCCATATATTTATGGAAAAAATAAGTTTTAATTAGTCAATTTAGTCCTGTCAAAAAGTCATTATGGAATTTCTCTTGTTCTGGGTGAACACTTGCAACACTAACTTTTACTCTAATATATTACTAAAATATTTTAATGAAAATAAAATGATACCTTTTACTCTGATATTTCACTGTAATCCCATCTTCAGGTTCCATGCTTACAGATCTCCTTATCAGCGAGATAAAATTAAGATAAAGTCCTTCAGGCTACTTTATATGAATTCCACAGTATCAATTTATTGTACGAATATATATTCACACTGTATCAAGGATTGTATTTAAGTAAAGTACAACTTTTAACATGTTTCATTCAAGGGAAAATGCAAGCAAGTTTCTTTTTATTTTCAAGGAAATCACATGCCTCACATTTCATTACTATTCCTGAATTATATGGCACCTTTAAAAGAATCTGGAAAAATATTGAAAGGGCTTTCTCTCTACAGAGCTATATCTTCCCATGCATTTTACATTGGAATTTATTGTTAACTGCAAAACAAGTAACGATTGTTTCTGGGACACCCACTCTTTTAAATTACAACAGACACATGACTTTATAGTGGAAACAACAACCCCCAAAAGAAGGAAAGGAACTGCTGAGATTTCCAAAATTGTCTGTCATTGGTTTTTGCAGATTTCAGTGACCCCGAATCTCTGCATTTCATTCGAGCATCCCTCCCCCGCCCCCGGCTCGGGAATCCTTCCCTGGGGTTTCAGGCTCCGTCCAATACCTTCACCACCAACATTTCCTTCCCTCTTTCCCACCTCGCCCCCCCCACACCTGTCACAAGCAGAAGCCCGGATCCCTCGGCCCGCGGCCCCTGCCCTCGCCCAGCCCCTCCTCCGCCTTCCTGCGGTTGCTTTCAGCGGCATCCCCCGGGCTGTCATCACGGACCGGGGACCGGGGCCCCTGGGCCGCGCAGAAGAGGGGCGGCCGCCGCCGCCGCCGCCGCCGCGGGAGGGCAGGGCCGGGGGAGCCACTCACCGTGAACCGCTGGTCGCCCACACTCCCCACGGAGAAGCAGTGGTCCCCGGGGTTCACGGCCCCGGTCAGGACTTGGTGCAGGTTCATGTCGTCACTGCCCCCTCCGGCCGCTCGCTCCTGCCTTCACTCCTGCAGCTGGGGCCGGGGCAGCCTCATGCCCAAGGCTGGCGGTGCAGGGAGGGCGGGGGCTGGGGGAGGACGGCGGCTGCTCCTCCTAGGGCCGAGGCGGGTTCGAAACCTCCTGCGGCGGCGGCGGCGGCGGGCGCGCAGACCTGGAGCCGCTTCTCTGGGGCCCGCGGCTCATTCCGAGCCGCGCAGCTCAGCGTAGGCTAGGGGAGGGGAGGACACGGGACGGAGGGGAGGGAGAAGAGGGGGCTTGAGGGAGGGAGGGGCGGGGGCGGGGCGAGGGAGCACTGCGCTGCTCGCGCGCGCACCTGTCACCGCCCGCACAAGACAGCTCCGGAACCACCCGCGCCGGGGCTGCCGCTCTAGGTCGGGCACTTGCCCGGGAACGAGCAGCCAGCACTGTGGGGCCGGGAAGTGGGAAGAGTGACTTCCTCTTCAGCAGCTGGAATCCGGCTTCCGTGGAATCTGGGTGGCGTAGTAAGCCCACAGTGGCTCTACGCGCCACTTCCCTGACCTGTCCCTTCTCGGCACCGGTCTTCATCACCCGTTTCCCTCCCGCCTCCACTGGCCTCGATCGTTAGGAGTGCGTCTCTCTCCCCCAGCAAGAGACGTATCGCGAGATTTTCCGCGGCTTGGGTCTGATAGGGCGGGAGTTGTTAAAGGGACTTACAGCCCTTGTCATCTTCGTAGTGAGTGAATCGAGAGGCGTGACTCCGTCCGCTTCCTCCAGGTTGACCAATCCCCTAATTGAATGCTTTGGGCTCCACCCAGGGTATATGAGTTGCGAATCGATTTGGTGCTAGTGGGCAGCCGCACTGCGCAATATGTGGTTAAATCTCCGGGGAAGGAATGAATGGAGGAGAGTGGGGTTTAGTTACCCGATTATCGGTCATAAGCTCTAACTTCTTCTGGCTAGGGGACGGGAAAGCTCTGCAGCTAAACCCGAATGAAATAAGTGTTTTAATTGGAACTAGGGCTGCTGACCTCTTCTAACCCACGCCTCCTCCTTGACTACAAATCCCATCATGCAATCTTCCCCTTTGGGTGGAACACGCTAGTGTCCTGAGTGAATGTGACCCTTGAAGCAGTCTTGCAGCTAGATGCATAAGTGCCAAATTTATATGAGCGTTTCAAACTATAAATATGTGTTGCAAAAATATGGCAATTCAGGTAAGCTTAGAGACTAAGCAAATATAATAGGGTGCTCTTTTATCAACCAAACTTCTTTAATTAGTACCATAAAAACAATGAACAAAGCATTTATTAAGAGACAGCCACTAAGTAATGGGGATTCAAAAACAAAAATGAAACGATACTTGCCCTCGGCGAGTTTATATTCTTTTGGGAGAGACTACCACATAAACATATCTGCAGATTCATATGAACTCCTAAGAGAGATCGGACTATTGGAACTCTGGGGCTCATTGTGCCCCCACTTTAAAGTAGGAATCTGGGGGAAATTACTTAAACATATTTTAGGAGGGTCTCATGTCTGGGCCTCTCTAAAAGGAATAACAGAGTCGTTCTCAAAGAAACCTCTCTGTATCAGCTGTAGGATGACTCTTCCACAAATGAAATCCTTAAAGCTAAAGATTCATAAGCCCACATTGAAAAACACTTAAAACACGAAACACTAAGGTATATAATAGGAATCTGATACTTAAAACATGACGCACTTTGTTGGACTGCTGAACAGTCATTTCATTTTAATCTCAGATCTGCACTGTCTGAGCAGTTTACTCAAGGTATCTGTCTAGCAAGTCATACTCAAAAACTTTCTTAGACTTTTCATCTGTTGTATCCTACTAGTGATGTTCATCTTCTCTGAACACTTAGAGGAATTATCTCTAGCTGGGCAACCAGCACCCAGACCCAGGAGCTCCCACCTTCTCTTAATTCATGAAGTTCCTGCTAAGTTTAAGAATATCCATCTCAGGATCACTGTTTGGTCACCTCTGCTCAGGGAAACAAATACAAAACAAAAGAGGGAATTAGCTTTGAGATCCACTATGAGGCTTACCTCAACAAGCATGTGCTCTCAGTGTCCTGTTAACATAGTTGCTATAGGGTGTAGAGGAGAAAAAACAATCCCCTCTCCCTTCCTGGAAATCTTAAGGAAAGCTAGGGCAGAGTCACTCTTAAAATCTACTTAGTGGTCAACTCCTTCTGGAGGGGGAGGGAAGGTGGGACCTGCAACTGCAAATCCAGTAGGTAAGCTTCATGAAGAAAGCAGCACTTGAGCTAACAGGAAAAGAAATAAGGAGTTGCAGGTTGAGGTGAGAAGAGACTTCATTTCAAGCGTGGGGGACAGCCAGCACAAAGGCATGGGGACAGGAGGTATTTTGTATGAAGGACAGAAAGAGGGACAGTTTGAAATTTGTAAGGTTGGAAAGATAGTCTGGAACCAGGTTTTGAAGGGCTTTAAATGCCCCAAAGAGGAGAAAGTATTCGATCCTAGAGGCAGTAGGGATCCATTGCATTGTCTTTAGTAGGAAAGTCATGTAGTCAGACCTACATTTTGGGAAAAATCACTTTGGAAGCTATATGTAGGATGGATTTGAGAGGAAGAAGATAGGGAGATGAATTTTGGATGCTATCATAGAGGTTCAGATGAGAGATGATTGGGGCCTGGGCTAGGGTAATGGCTGTGTGCCATGCTTGAGGTCAGAGACTGTCTTTTGCCTCTTTTATATCCTCAGAGTTTAGCACAGTGCCTAGCACACAGTAGCCACTTAATAAAAGTTTATTGAATGAATGGAGAAAGGAAGAGATGTGGAGATAAATATGACAAGATTTGGCAACTCATTGGATGTATGGAATGAGGAAATGTGGGTAGTGGAGGATAATTGCAGGGTTATAAACTTGATTGATTGGAAGGATGGTGGTAACCTTAGTAGAAGTGGGAAAGTTTGAAAGAGGGATGGGTTTGGAGGAAAATAATTAGTTTGGTTTTGGACATGTTGAGTTTGAGAAGCCTACAGGACAACCAACTTGGAGTATCCTGTAGGTAAGTGGAGCTGTTCAGCTGAGGCTTAGGAAAGAGACAAGTATGAGTTATATAGATTTGGGAGTCATCTGTAATAAGATGATAGTTTAACACATGAGAGGTAATAAAGTGAAATTATATTTCACTGGACAATTCTTCCATAGTATACTTAAGGAGTTTAAAAGACTTGTGATTTCATTGCTGTGAGCATTCCCTCATACTGTGCAAAGTACTATACCTTTATATCTTATACAGTCTTCATTGGTCCCTGTGGCCAAAAACAAATTCATCAAATGTCAGCCAACTTTTTGGTAATTGGGTCTTTCAGAATTTAGCTAGATTGGTCCTTAATCCGCCTAGACCAGGGGTGGACAACCTAAAGCCTCAAGGCCATATATGACCCTTTAGGTCCTCAAGTGTGGTTCTTTGACTGAATCCAAACTTTGAAGTTTGGATTCAGCCCAAGAAGTTTGGAACAGGGTTTGTTCTGTGAAGTTTGGATTCAGTCAAAGTCTCAAAGTTGGTTATCTTTACAATATTATTATTTGTTGTTCATCCTTCATTTTTGGAGAGGACCAGTGACATCATGGGGTGACACTTTGACTTGCATGTGAATTTAAGCGAGGCAGAGTTGCTCAAAGTCATTAGCCTCACTCTCTCTTCCAGAGTCATTGAAGTCCAGTGGCAAGACAAAAGTCAGGACAGGATGCAGTGGATGACTTTACCGTCTTCAATGTCCAACCAAGCTCTAAGCATTCCACAGCCCCTTCTTTAGCTGCTAAATTGTTCCCATTCTGTGGGTGAAAGTGGGGAATTTTTCATATGCTTGGTATAGACATCCCCCTAACTCATGTATGGGTTTAAGGCCTGTCAGTTATCCTCCACCTGGCTGTTGCACATGCTACAGCTTCTTGGAGCCACAGGTGAGAGTTGGGTGAAGTGGACACCAAAGGTGATATATAGATATATATATATATATCCCTATCATGATTTATTTCTGCTCATTTTACTCCATATCAGTTCATATAAATCTTCTTAGGTTTCTCTGAAAACATGGTGGTTTCTGAGTGCAAACATATTTTTTTTGCTTTTATTTTTTTTGCAATGTGGCTAATATGGTAGTATGTTTTGCATGATTTCATATGTGTAATAGGTGTCATATTTCTTGCTCTCTCAATGGGTGATGGAGGGGGTGGAGGGAAGGAGAGAATTTGGAACTGAAAATTAAAAAATTAAATAAAACATTTAAAAAAGAAATCATACCCTTTATTATTTCTGACAGTATAATAATATTCCATCACATTCATATACTTGTTTAACCATTTCCATACATGATGAGTATTCCCTCAGCTTCCAGTTTTTTGCCATTGTGGTTGGTATAAATATTTTTGGACACAGATGTGCCTTTCCTCTATTTTTTAATCTCTTTGGGGTACAGATCTAGTAGTGGTATTAAGTGGGTTGAGGAGTATATACAATTTAGTAGCTGTTTGGTCATATGGTTCAAAATTGCTTTCTAGAATGGCTGGATCAGTCCACCAGTAATGCTTTACTATACCTGTTTTTCCACTTCCCCAACATTATTTGTCATTTTCTTTTTTTTTTTTGTCTTCTTAGCCAGTCTGATTGGTGCATGGTAAAACCTGAGAGTTCTTTTAATTTTCTTGTCTCTAATTACTAGTGATGTAGAACATTTTTTGTATGGCTATTAGTAACTCATATTTCTTCCTCTGAGGAATGGCTCTATTCATAAAAATGTGAACCAGTTCCCTATGTATATTAGAAAGGAGACTTTTATCAGAGAAACTTGCTCTGAACATTTTCCCCCACTTGGTTTTGTTTGTACAAAAACTTTCTAAATGTTATATACTGTAATCAGATTTGTCCATTTTACCTTCTGTGATCCACTCTCTCTTTTTTGGACACAAACTCTTCTATCCATAGATCTGACTGATAATTTCCTTGCTCCTTTAGTTTATTTATGATGTCAGCCTTTATGTATAAATCATGTACCCATTTGGAATTTTCTTGGTCTACGGTGT